AATATATAAAAAAGGAGAACATCATTTCATAATACAAAACTCTACGATTGCACTAATATAATATTATTTCAAATTATTAACTAATTCGAATAATATTTATCAGTTGTCCTGATATTATGTACTGATTAAATATTGATTACAATTGATAATAAGACATGAATAAGTACTCCTTTCTTATTATATATGATTTTCTATAGAGAACCCTAAATTATTTTCCTAACGAGCTCAGCGACATGGATTAGTCATGTGAAGAAAAAAAAACATGTGTTTCAATACCACTTTTAATCAATATTATATACTAGCATAGATAATATAAAAATCAGTATTAAGTATAATTTCACAAAAGAGGTATGAAAATGTATCTTTATATTATTTTCCAGGGTTTTATTCCACAGTCGATGGGGTCAACTATTCACACTCCCAAACAGTAACTTTGGGGGTGTGTGATGACTAAATTGCCCTTCTCCCAAACCAAAACAGGCCAAGTCCATTCCAGAAATACCCTCAACATCAAAAGGGTATTTTCGGCAATCCAACTCCCAAAATTACTGTTTGGGAGTGAATATAGCAAACATGCATCCAGGACTCCAAGATTCACTGTACATTTTCATACATTGGGGGAGTGTCGGTATATGCTCCTTCGACTGCCTTGGACTCCAAGGTCATGCGGTTAAGTGTCATCACAGAATTTATTGAAGATTTATTTCTCTATGTTTTTTGCATTTGTCCTCCTTAGGATTTGATATGGCTTAATTGCACTTTAATACTCTACACTTTCCCTATGTTGAGTTTATATACTCACTTGTTTTTCACGGCACTTAAATACCCTACAGTTTTTTAAAACCACACTTAAATACCCTAACTCGTTGCGGCTGCACATATATGTTTTAAAGTTTTTCAAACTTGCAATTGGATACCCTAAAGTCTTCAAAATTTGTACTTATATACCCTTACGCAAACTTGAGGGTAGTTAAAATGCTAGTTTCAAAAAATTTACGGCATTTAAGTGCAAGTTTAAAAAAGTTTAGAGTATATAAGGGCTGCCAAAAACAAATGAGGGTATAAAAGTGAAAGTTTTATTGGAGATTGTGGTTAAATCTGGAATGAAACAGTGAAAGTCAATGTGTTGTAATTTTAAACTTTTTAAAATTAATTGTTGTGCGTTTGCGAAACGTTGTGCTTAAAACAATATTTGGCCTACTCCGGTGCAAAGATCCCAATGCCAAACTGCTTCCAGGAACAGCAATACAATACTCTGGTGTGCACCAATCCAGTACTATTAAGATCTCCTCGATCTATAAGACCTTTCGGTCAAGGCAAAGATCTCCTCGATCTCAAAACCTTTCGGTTTCAGGGAAAGTTCCTTCGGGCACAATTTCTGCAGCAGCAGCAGCACAACAGCTCAATATATTTCGTGCGTACAAGAGCTCTCACGTTCATGTGTCCAAGAGCTGCCCCAAAGGGCGCTATTTATAGGCCTCTAAGGCCAGCTCAAGAGTCACATACAATTAATGTGATTGTAACATCAATTAATTTAAATGCTGTTATAACTGCTGCATGCAATAATGCCTGAAGGCGAGACAATCAATGGACGCGTTACTTCGCAACGCGAAGGTCGCGTCTCAGCAAATCAGACGAACATCGTCAATAGGACAAACCTCGTCGAACGGGCGAACGTCAATAGGATGAACCTCGTCGAACGGGCGAACCTCGTCGAACGTGCGAACGTCAATAGGACGAACATCATCGAACATGCAAACCTCGTCAAACAGGCGAACGTCAATAGGACAAACCTCGTCAAACAGGCGAACCTTGTCAAACAGACGAACCTCGTCAAACGGGCGAACCTCGTCGAACAAGCAAACCTCGTCTGATCTTGTGAATCAGATGAACCTCGTCAATAAGATGAACATCGTCGAACATGTAAACCTCGTCAACCAATTGACGAACCTCGTCAAATAGAGGTGCGTCGTCTAATCTCAAGAACGCTAGGGTCAGGTAGCTCATCCGCATGCTGCGAAGCAGCCTACAAGGCAACCTTTATGGTGACCATAGTGGCAGCCAACGTGGCACCACCTAGCCCTGATACCTCTGTGCGAAGTGTAATGTGCACCTAACAAAGCGTCACTTAGCGTCTCAACCCGATTAGCCCCAATCCCCGACCCATTGGCCCACGAGCCTACAAGGCCATGGCTTAGGACCCATGACCACTAGGCTACTAAGCATTTATGAAAAGTACTTGTAGTTAATATATATATATATATATATAGTTTGAAAACTCATTTTCGAAAACGGGTTTGACCAAAAAATCCAACAAGTTTTAATACTCAAGAGCATATTAGTCTTGCCCAAAGCAAGTGAGGGTATACAAGTACAAAGTAGGGGAACTATAGGGTATTTATTTAAATGCAATTAAGCCGTATTTGGTATTTTTATGGAGCCACGCTTGTTTTTGACTGTTTAACCTACTGTTGCGAACCTTTGTGCAAAGGTTTATGATATATTGGATTAAGTTATGTGTACAAAGAATTATGTAATGGCTCTTTGGTACTAAAATAGATAAGTTCGCCTTAAATAATGCTGGATTAGAGCGAAAGTAGGTCGTACCTACTAGTGGTGATGTTGATAGAGAGACCAACATCTAGAAGAAAACTTATGCAGAAAGAACCTATATCATTGCTTTTATTCGGAATGATTACTTTTCAAGGTGATCTTGCTTCAAGATTTCTGCAAGCACATCTCAGCAATTGAACATTATCAGGTTTCAGACAAGGTAATTCTACCGGCTACATCATATTTTTTTTTCACTTATATGATAAAGGAAAGAAATTTTACAAAGACGATCATTCTCGTCGAAAACAAGAACCATCAGAGAGGCCCATGACACTAAAACTTTCCTGTAAAATGAAGTAAGCCTGTAAAAGTGAAGTAGAAGGATTGAGCAAAAGTAGTAAAAGATTTGCGGAGACGACAACTCGAATAAGATCTTTGCAGGTCTAGAAGCAAAGAGAGTCCATATAACTGCATAACCTCTCAAGACTCAACCTTGCGTACACGACACGGCAACTATAAAAACCTGTACCAAAATACATACTTCAACAACCTGTAGATGGCAAAACCTGCCCCTGCTTGCGTATAGATGTCAGTGTTAAACGAGCAGTATAGCATGCCAAAACCTTTACTATGTGATTAACAGTGTTATCGAACTCACACTTAGCACGAAAACGTATAAACAGATATCCTTGTATTGGTTTGCATTATTTGACAATAAGCAGTTACATTAAAAAGTTCATGGCCAAAGTAACAGATAAACAAAAATGTTAAAAAGGGCTTACAAACAGAGAAATGTTGAAACATATGCCAAGAAATAATCATAACTATTCAGTCCAACTGAATTCAGGAGCTAGCTCTCATATAACTGCATAACCTCTCAAGACTCAACCTTGCGTACACGACACGGCAACTATAAAAACCTGTACCAAAATACATACTTCAACAACCTGTAGATGGCAAAACCTGCCCCTGCTTGCGTATAGACGTCAGTGTTAAATGAGCAGTATATGCATGCCAAAACCTTTACTATGTGATTAACAGTGTTATCGAACTCACATTTAGCACGAAAACGTATAAACAGATATCCTTGTATTGGTTTGCATTATTTGACAATAAGCAGTTACATTAAAAAGTTCATGGCCAAAGTAACAGATAAACAAAAATGTTAGAAAGGGCTACAAACATAGAAATGTTGAAACATATGCAAAGAAATAATCATAACTATTCAGTCCAACTGAATTCAGGAGCTAGCTCTTCAGCTCACTCTACTGCTATTACTCAAAAGGGTAAATTACACAAAACCCCCAAAAATCTTCAGCATTTTGTAACAAACCTCTGATAACTTTCAAAATCACAATATATCCCCAAAGAACTTTCAGTATATCGTGTTTGCTATTTCAGGTCTATGTCATGCTTGTGAGTTTTAGATGCCACTTTCGTTCACCCACGTCCTGAATGCTGCAATTTGGGAAGACCTTGTATTTTAGGAATGTCCGAGAGATCTCGCTGATATGCGGCGAAGCCGATAGCATTGTTTTACGAATCAAGAATATGGAGATAGTTGTGCTGCCGTTCTGCAACCTGGAGATAGTTGTTCAGCTGCTCCGTCAAAGCCTGCAAGTCTCCGTCAAATACTGTTGACGTTACAGTCGACGCAGAGAGAATCCTGTCAGTACAAAAGAATATTTCGTACATGATTATAACTAATTAAAAATTTTATCTTCTTGATCAACTATTTCATCTTCTTCTAAATTATTACTATCTTCTTCA